TCAAGAAAATTCAAGCAATTCATCTGGACTAGAACTGTCTTAGTAGTAAAGAAAAGAATCCTTCACTAAAGGTGAGTCTGCATTTCCAGGAAAAATTAACAACACACTTGAGAGACCCAAACAGCTCCAACCGATTTATTTAGCTACACATTTAAAGCTTAAAAATGACACTAACAATAATGAAATATATAGCAATAAAACGTCAAGCACACAACATCATAAAAGTCACATTTGGAATCTGTCTTAATTATTTTGTTTCTTATAGTTGTTGTAGGTGTTGGAAGTGCAAGATTGGGGTCTCAGCATGTTGTTTCTGATGAAGGCCCCCTTTCCAGGGTACAAGCAGCTGACATTTCCTGGTCCCCTTAGGAGGAAAAAAGGTTTTAATAAGTAAAAAATAGGTTAAAAGAAAAGGAATGAAGAAGATGCTTCATGTTAATGGTAAAGAAAAGCAATTGTGATCAGGGATGAAGGAATTCTGACCACTTTCATAATGGCCCAAGTGTCCATTCAAGAGGTAAATCATAAACTTTTATGCAAATAAGCACAGAACTCCAAAAATACAGAAGTTGGTATAATCTGTAAGGGGGATCAGGAAAGCCCTTACTCTAGGTGTTTGACTCCAGTAAGGACTGATAAGACAAATACGATCAATATGAAGAGAAGATTTAAACACCATCTAACAAACTGGCCGTCACAACAGGACACGTGTTCTCTTTTGTTGTCACAGAGTGCTTACCAAGATACAACGTTCTCCTGCCCACGGAAAAGATTCAAATATTTGCAAATTCAATTTGTCTTGAATATACTACAATGAGATCAAGTTAGAACCAACAACAAAAGTCTTCAAAAAACCCCTAAGTATTTGGAAATTAAATCAGACCGTCTTTTAATAACTTGTGTTTGAAAGAACTTGGGCAGTGGCTGTGCAGGGAGGGGAAGTTAGAACATATTGTGAATGAAATGGAAAAGAAATCCTATTATTTCAAAATCACTGGATGGGTCCAAAGCAGTAATAATGGCTAAATTATATAAAATTTTCTAAAAAGCCAGAGGCCAAAGGAAGAGACATAGGACAAGCCGTCTCCTCTGAGTTTACTGCCTCTGTCTTCATCATGTGCTTGTGACTGTATCTTGTGTTATGCAAAGAATTGTTTCTTCCAAAGGATTTTTCCCTCACTTTTATTGTCTTTCTGAGAGTTCATACAACTCATCCCCTCCCCAACTCCTCCCATATTCACCCTCATTTGCTACTCACCCAACTTTGTGTCCCTCCCTTTTAAATCCATCAAATCCAATATATGGTGTTCATATATCCTTGGGTGTTTGACCTTCCGTTGTAAGATGGTCAACTTTAAAATCTCTCTCTCTCTCTCTCTCTCTCTCTCTCTCTCTCTCTCTCTCGTGTGTGTGTGTGTGTGTGTGTGTGTGTGTGTGTGTGTGTTTAAAAC